ACTTGCATCTACTTGAAAGTAACGCTCCACACGTCACTTGCTGAGGGCTGTGTTCATTCTTTGCTGCAGCGCCCATCAACGTGCAGGACTGGAGTATAAGCGTCAAGTATCCACCATCCACCAGAAGCGTCCGGGAAGGTAACAAACGGTTGGTAGAGTATGGGGAGATAGGAGGGTACTAGCTGTCTGCTATCCTCATATCGCCTCATACTCTCCATTTCCGAACGCTGCTGGTCGCTGGTGGACGTGGTATACGCTGCTGGTCGCTAGATCGATACGTATACTTCCGTAACTCTTGAGACTGTGCTGATCGCTGCTGAACGCTGGCAGATGCTAGGTCGATATTTATACTTCCCTAGTCTGACGCTGCCGGACGCTCGGAACGCTGGTGGAAGCTGCCGCAAAGTATGAACGCAGCCTTATTCATGGGCTCTACCCCTCAAGTCATTGCAGGGACCAAAGGAAGTGACCTGCACATAATGATAGACCTTGCAACCTCTCAGGGTTGAGTTTTATAAAGTCCAAAATGGTTGGTTTGGGCGTGCTTCAAATTTGCTAGCCAGCCAATCAGTGATTCCATTCAAATACTTTTTCGATGACATCAGATACATATTATCCAGATATGTCGTTAGAGAGAGGTTCTGAATCCATTGCACCACATAGGCCCAGCACACAATAGCAGGAAGATGGCGGCAACCGCTTGCGCGTCCGCACGCAAGTGTGCTACTTATTGCGGCTGGCAAAAAATGTTCGAGAAATGCAAGCAGAAACGGGCTTGGATGAGTTAATGTTTTCTTTTCCTCATCACGTTACTCGCATTACTGGGACCCCTACAATCTTCATTTAATTGCCATTGCTTGCACGCTTCTTCTACAGCATAAAGGTAATAGTTCGAGATGCGTTTCTCGGAACCAGAGCACATCATTGGTTGGGGATTTTAGTCGACCGACTCCGTACGCCCCCCTCCTTTTGGGGTTGGTTCGACCCCCTCCGGCCCGATGTCCGTCCTCAGCGCCGTGAAGCGGAAAAAAACCAACTATCAAAATAATCCTCATCGAATCGAGCCGTTGAGCGGGAGGGGAAGGGTGCATATAGTACGCACGAAACAGGAAAATTCACGAAAAGTCAACCACCAGTCACCATTATTAAAGGCCAAAAAGTAAATACGATTCCCCCCTCCCCTTTACAGCGCCGTGACGAGGCAAAAAACCCAACTATAAAATAAATGTTCTCAGGCCCAAATACGCCCCCTTTCGTGCGGCCAAATACGACCCTCTAATGGGGCTTCCCCAACAATGATGTGCCCCCTCGGAATAGGGGACTTTTCCGGGACATTAGCGTGGATTGAAATGGGTGGTCCCCTAGGTATTTGCTGCATACCTTCAATTAACGATGGTATTTCTGCTGTGTAAAACTGCCCACTTTCCACGTAGGTGGGCTAGGGAGTCATCACAGAAATTGCGGACTTCCAGCCTGAAATAGTTTTTACCCAGGGCAGCTAGGCCTCCTGAAATTTCAAATTTGCCGGCCAGTGCCAGCTAGTGCAGCGTAAGGCAATGACCTTTTGTGGAGAATCTAACTTCTACAGTAATTTGATTTAGAATATTAACTGTCGAATTGGACTTTTCAAGCGTCCTCAATGACGCTGGTTGAGCACTGTGATTCAATATGAAGCCTCCCTCAGCGTCTGGAGAACTAGCTAGCATAGGCTAGAGAAACTCCCCAGCTCTCAAGCATTCGCTGAGCAATCCTAGCGTGGTGGGGGGAGGGGGTGGGGTGCTTGGAAAGCGAAGGTCGTATTGGGAAGACTTATTTTTTCGCTTTCCTGAAAACGCCACTCAGCACCATCTCTCATATATGAACGCAGTCACCCTCATTCGGAACCATGCACTGTGTCTAGTCCGTTGGCCAGATGTCCCACCAACACAACCCTCACAATTACTTGCAATTGCAGAAAGAAATAACAACACATTCAACAGATTTTAGAACAATTTTATCTAAAAAGCAATAGGAAACTCAACAACTCTAAAACATTAAAAAAATTTGATCTATCACGTATCAGAAGTTTTCATCGACAGCAAGTGGACCAGCCTCAACTCAACAAACGTTACTCGGATTAAAGATCTCAATCCAGTATCCATCAGGATCTTGTATAAATGCAAGGCCTTTCATTGTTCCATCCTGTGGCTTCTTCACGAACTTAACGCCCATTTTCTCGAAACGTTCACAAGCCTTCTCGACGTCCGGCACAACGATTCCAATGTGGCCTCAAATTTAGCCCGCAATGTGAAAAAGCTTGAGAGATGGGATGTGACGAGCAAGAAAAAAGAACAAACCAAATCCTTTTGGCTCCTTGTTGCCATTGTGATAGCTGAAGTCAGGCTGGTTTTCAGTTCCCCAATTACTGGAAAACATCAATCAGCACAACTGATTGCAGCATTCTTTGAGCTCTACAAAGAGAAAAGGGGCACTATTAACCCATACTACTAATCCTTTCTAGAGTTAGGCCAAATTTCTAACGAATATAATCCCCAGGCATAGATATGGCTAGCAGTTTCTCCCTCGAGGCTGTTCTCCTCCAAAAACATCGCTTAGCCCAAAAATTGATAGCACCCTGCGCTATAATTGTGAGCGAGCAAGTGCCAAATGCTTCATCGTAAAGCGGAAAAGACCGTGCTCAAGGGAGACAAACTAATCACAGGCACAAACTTTCAGCTGCAATGCAACCGTAAGAACAAGTTTGACAGAAAATCGCGGTCCAATTCGGAAAAAAGAAGCAGTGAAGGGTAAATAGAGCCAAAGAAAGAAAGAAAACCGAAAACTCACTGAGTCAGCTCAATGGTAGCCAGGGTAGAAAGTGCAAAATGGTTCCTCTCTCTTTCGCCTTTCGGAATCTCATCTGCTCTCTTGTAGCCCATGAAGTACAACGAAAATTTACCTGCCGAAAAGTCCATTTGCTTCAACAATCTAAAAAAACGTGAACATTACTCATGAAAACCTTGAAGCGATTCGATCATCCAGCATGCCATTCTGTTAATTAGTCTGCTTTGCAATGAGATGTGGCTCAAATTTTGGGCGGAGCCCAGTGAAAGGGGGGGGGGATTGCACCTCAGCTGCTTCCCATTGTCCCGTCGAGCCATCAAGTAGGGATTTGTGAAATCTTGTAAAGACATGAAGTGACAGCTGTCAATGCTTGTAGAAATTACTTGTCAGCTCATGTTACGAATACCTGTCAGCTCCTATAAAGCAATGAATAAGACAATGGGAACCAGCGAAAATGCAAAATGCCCCCTCCTTGTCGCCGAAGCCGAAATTTGTGGCCAAAATCAAAACTCTGGTCTAAACTGCGGAAAGCAGAGTCGTAAAGCTCATCAATGCCGTAAATGTGTTTGTGAGAACGCTCCTGTTGAATGCTTGTCTTCCCTGGGTTTTCTTGTGAAAAAGCCATTTATTCTGTGCCGAAAAAGTGCTGTTTTGCTGTTTAGAAAGAATAACTGCAGAAATAAATAGGGTTAGTGTTAGGTTTAGTTTGAACGTTTCAGTTGGATAAAAAAACCGTTCTAGATGACAGAAAAAAATTCTCAAATTGATGTGGAATGCTACCGACTAATTCCTCAGAACCCCCAAACACCTCTCTTGCTTAACACCGAAGTTCTTATCGCACGGTAGTTCCCGTATTCTGATGTGCCTTTCCACGGTATATGTCAAAAAGTGCTCTCAGCAGCACCACCTCGTTTCACCTTCACTGGGCGTTTATTCTCCGAACTACAGATAATCAACTCAGATTTCATAGTGGCTGCGTCCCGAATAGAAACGCTAAAAGTTACCACAGAAACACTGACATGTAGATATTTCAACAATGTTGAATAATGGAGCGTCTTAACATCATGCGTCTCATGGCTAATGCCATGGCTTTATGCTAATGAAGGGGTCTCCATGAAAAATTTCTATCTGCATTACCAACAGTAAGCCAGCTCTAAGGGATAGAGGAAAAATTTTCGCCGCTGATCAGTCCCTTTGCGGGATGCCGCCCGCCTTCCAGTTCCATTCAGAATAGTACTGGCCTAATCGTGGTGGCCTTCTGAATGATATGCGGTCTGTTCAATGGCTTGCGAGGGCCAGGTTATGTACAAAGTCAGTGTTCTTATCCTTCCAGACAAGTCTGGTACCAACTAGGCCTGGCTGCACAGTTAGAAGTCCTGGTTAGCCTGGGCAATAGTCGATCCAGGATCTGACTGCCGGACCGCGGGCGTGGTAAGCTTGTTGCTTGCCAATAGAGCACCTCCGTCTCACAGTAGCTATGCTGAAAATTCGCAGCATTACGGGTACTGAGTGAAAAACGACGCCAGTATCTTCCAATGTTTAGAAACAGTAGAAAGGTAAAATAAAACACAAATAACAACAAACGACAAACAACAAAAACGGAGTAGAGTTCAGAATTAAAAAAAAACATTCACCTCATGCCGAGCACCTTCGTGTAAAAGGGTAGCGACTGTCTTGGATCTTTAATACGGAGCATTGTCTGTTGGAAGTAAAAGCCGTCCGTTTCCGGCGCAGGCTCACCAATGAGCTCAGCTACCTGAACATCACAATTACTGTTACATTTCAATAAATTAACTTCACGCTGATGTAACACATAGTCCTTTGCTTTACGTGTTGGGCTGCATTCATACTTTGCGGCAGGGTCCCACCAACCACCAGCGTTTCGAGGTCCGTCAGCGTCTACCAGCGTCTGCAGCGTCAACTAGCTACTAGGAAAGTATGGAAGTGATCTAGCGAAGCCAGTTCCCCCAGCGTCTATCAGCGCCTACCAGCGTCTCGAGGGACTAGGGAAGTGCAGGTATCGATCTAGCGCATGTCAGCGTCCACCATCGCTGACATTCGCTAGATCGTCCAGGAATAGAGAGTATGGGGCAGTAGGAGGCAGCAGATAGCTAGATTAGGCGTCGTGGAATTGCGGCGTCTGCAACCGCACGGTACAACTGCTGAAGCAGAGAATTATGCAACTTGATGTACCGTATTGTGTAGTAGTGCGGTGCGGTTGCACACATCGCACTTTCACAAGTCCAAAACGCCTAACCAGCTGCCCGCTTTTTTCCTACTTCCTTTTCTACCTAATCCTGGAAGCTGGTGGACCTGCTAGACGCTGCCATTCGCTGGATCGACACCTATACTCCTTTGGTCCCTCGCAAACGCTGCCGTACCCTCGTTTATCCAGTCGCTGGTGATAGACGCTGGCAGACGCTGGGAGACACTGCCGTTCGCTAGATTAATATCTACACTCTTCTAGTCACTGACGCTGACGGACGCTCGAAACGCTGGTGGTCGCTGGGGGACCCTGCCACAAAGTATGAACACAGCCTTAAGGGATAGATTACGCGTCACTGACACCACCCAACAGTTCAATGATCTATCTCAAGACGTCACTAACAGGACGCTATACAAGTTCATTCATTGTTTACCCTTTACTGTCCCAATTTCCATATGAGCCAGATTTCGAACAAAACTTCCTCCTGATTGTCTGCTTTGGGAGGAAAAGGTATACCGCACCCGCATATCGCTCGACTGGAACGAACGTGCGCTATAGGCTGATGGTGTCGCCATTACAAGCCACATTTGGCGTCGGCACCTGTAGCGCAGGCATCAAATGCTTTGGAGCCAAACCAATGTTTATGGGGTCGGTAAACCCTAGGAACAGGTTAACAACAAGTACGGTGCGATGGGGATTTTTTGACGCCGGCGCCATTTATGCGGGCGCCAGACGTTCAAGCGGGAAGCGGACGCGGTACTAGTAGTTATGGCGTTCAAACCCACAGTCAAAATTCTGTCCCAATCTATCCCAGAAGAAAAACGTCGATCAAGATCTGGCCTGAAGTCGAAGAAATGGGGCAGTAAAGGGTGGATAACGCTGTTATCTCCTAAGTTGTCGGATGTACAACACTTGCGCCCAATAGAGTCAGTAATCTAGGCTGACGGAATAGAATTAATTGACTGAGGAAACTTTATACCGAAACGACCGCAGAAAAGAGAATAAAACGGAACTATGCGCGCTCAGAAACATTAAGCCTAGAAAGATTTGGAGAGCCTGCGAGCAACGATGGGGAGGAGCCGTTTTCCTCGCTTTTTCACTCGGAAAATCCCATCACCGCGTCACGCGTTTCCATAGGAAAACGTCAAAGTGGCTACGAGGCGGAACTGAAGAGGTACTGCGAGACTACATTAAAAGCGAACGTGAAATGTGGGTAACTGAGAAGCTGCAAAAAAATTAAGTTTCGATAAAACTGCCTTTACTGGGAGGGCAGTGGTCCTTTCCGTTCAAAGTGCATTCGAAGCAAATCAACTTAAATCCGGAACTACGATCAATGAACTTGCCTCAGAGGGGAGGAGAGGCTTGGGGCCGGCCTTGTCGCCGCTGTCTTGTCCGCTCCCATCCATTTGAGCGGTTCTTGAGTTATAGCTCGATAAATTTCTGAAATAATATCAATGTATGAAGTCTAAAGCAATTGAAACCTATTATCAGCAAAAGCAAATCTAAGGCGCAGTTTGGTTACTGACCTGCCCACTTGGAATCGGGGTTCACTTCGTCCTGAATGCAGGTGTAGCCGAACAGGAACAGAACACCAGTGAAGACGTAAAGAGAGCCCTAAAAAACGCTTGGTTGGGCTGAGCATTTCCTAAAAGGTTATGAATAAGGAAAAGTGTGAAATGATTTGGAGAAGAAGATTTTCGAGAATTCTACACACTTTTCTGTATGAGCGAACTTCAAATCATAACGCACTCGCCGAAATGGTTGCCATCAACGTGTCATCGATCGAAAAGTGGAACGCCCACATGCAAATCCGTACATTAAAAAGACAAGGAAAAGAGCAACGTACATATTTTGGGAAAGCAACGATCGCAGGTACCCAGCTAGTTGTGAACTGCCAACATGGGAAGGTGGCAGAAATGCTTAGAAAGCCATGACATGATGTAAAAGCGTTAGAAAGTAAATCGTCGCCGATTGGCTTCAGTGGGGACATTTTGCTAGTTCCCATCAATCACTGCCAATTCCTCCTATCAATACCTATAGAGCACGAGCTTCCTTCAAACTTGACAGGAGTCTACAGGGCCCACCAAGGTGAGACGTGCTGTAGGTCAACCGAAATTGGTAACAGGAACTAGTGAACCAGAAAAATGCCCCCCCCCCCCTCCAGCCGAACATAACCAGTTATCCTTTGGAGATATTCAGCCGTTAAGTGAAGGAGAACCACCTGGCCGCTCTCGTAGGCGTCCGATCTCGTAGAGCTCAGGTTCAGAGCACGGACGACCAAAGACGCCGCAGACAGTCTCATGGGAAAGTCGTGGTCTCCTGTAAGCCCCAGGCCGTGTTCATACTTTGCGACTGAGGAGATTCGGCGATTTAGAATTGTGGCGATTTGGGAGACTCAACGGTTTGAGAGATTGCGCGCGGAAGGAGCTATAAGTATCCATTAGTGCCGGTCGCTAGCGATAGCCGCGAATTCCATAGCAGCTGAGTGAGATCGCCGAATCTCGGCGGTTCGAGAGACTCGGCGATCTCACTCAGCTGCTATGGAATTCGCTGCGAGGACTTGGCCCGGACTTCGTTCAAAATGTCTGCAATGTTCTATTACTGCAATCTCAAAATATCGAAAATTTCTCCCATGAAGAAATCAGGTTCAGCTTGTTCAGCGCGAATACGACATTGGCGCCAAAGTTATCCGGCACCATTTCGTCGATACCACTTTTCCCTCCGAACTCGTTATAAACCTATATAGGGGTAATTTACTGATCCCATCATGGGCAGGACCTTTCGACGGCCTCATAAACGGGGTAATTTAGGGTCCACATCGCGAATATGGCATTTGCTTTTGCGCCAGCGTAACGAATTTGATGAAAAAAGTCATGGCGCCAAATTGACGCAAAATGGCGAAAGGTGCAGCTCCTCTTGATGGGGGAGCACCAAATTGCACTCAGTGAGGTCTGTACAGGCCACCCTGTGAAGTCCTCTGAATTGTAGTAAGAAAGATGGCTCATGTACCATTTTGCAGCTTCACAAGAGTTCACATGTTAGTTAACATGAACGAGCAAAATGGACTAGCGCAAGGGCAAAATGCCCCTCCCAAGACGGACAGGCATACATCGCAATTTATGAACGCGATCTCACCTACCAAGTCTCAATGGAAAATTGTGTTTCAGAGCCAAATGGTGCCCCCCTGAAAAGTTCCTAAGACCACGTAAAGAGCTCCTAAAGAACCTCCTAAAATAGACCATCGCCTCGAACCGTGCCCCCTCCTCCCACGGTCTGAAGGTCTTAACATTTTGTAATCACATTTGGTTCGAACATAGCTCGAAGATAAAAGCATCCAGTGGAACTAATTTTGCAGTAAAGAAAAAAATACGGACGCTCTTTTCTAAGAAAGCACGTCGTACCTCCCAAGGAGGTTCCAGGATCCTCAAAGAACGTCCCCCTATGCGTTCGACGGTTGAGAATTTCCAGAAAAAAAACGCTAGAACTTACAGAAAACTGGGAAAATCCGGGATGATATCAGGTAAGATGGAAATTTCGTTTGTTTTATTCGTATTACGACGGAATGATGGACGGGGGGGGCGTATTTTGCAAAATCTTTCCCCGTCGCAGGACGTCCTTATTTCTAATTATGGAATAAGCAAAAGCAATGGCAAATTGCAATTCCACGTTGGGATCGTGTGAAGAAAATTCTAGTGAGCAAAAACACCACCAAATGTCCGACGTTACTGGAATAGTGCCGTGATTGCCCAGTAACTCGGACGAAGACCGCCTGACATCACATCTCTTCAATCGGCACAGCGTTCGTTGATCCCCGAAAAATTTTTCGGCAGTCAATAACGGGAGCGTTCGCCGCACATAAACACCAATGACGACTCAACGATTGTGGAACATTACACAAGGAAAAATAGATTTGTGAATCAATAGTTGCAAGCCTTCACCTAAAGCTTGTAAGAAGTTTAGTAAGAATTTTATATACGTTAGACAGACAGTGGGATTCAAATTTCAACTTCGGTGTTTTTTTCCAAGCGAACGTTTCGGAGCTCCGCACTCCGCCGACGAACGAAGGTCAGAGACGCAGCCGCATTTGCCAAGGTTTCGAAGATTAGGTGGGCCTGGCACGTCATACGTGACTAAATTCCAAGTAATATCAAGCGAACCGACAAGCGATGGTTTCGCGAAAGCTCTAGACGAGTGGTATAAGCAGAGGGAATCCAACTCTAGCATGTTGCAGGGACAAGTAGAGACGTTACAGGCGCCCGCTCGAGGAACTCGATGATCAACGGGAGCACAGGTGATACAGGCGAACAATGAGAGAAAGTAAAAGTAGCCTCGAAACCTACTAAACAAAGACAAGACTAAACAAAGTATAATAGAACAGCAAGCATAGACCCTAATGTAACCACCAAGCTTACAGGCAATTGGCGCGATAAATCCCCCCCCCCCTTCTCAAGAGGAGTAGGGTTAATACACCCGGCACGACGGAATTCCCTGAACAGGCGCTGCATAGTG